TGTGCAGAAGGGTGTCCACTGCAGAGCTGGCTGTCCTGTGCAGTAGGGTGTGTACTGCAGAGCTGGCCTGTGCAGAAGGGTGTCCACTGCAGAGCTGGCCTGTCCTGTGCAGAAGGGTGTGCACTGCAGAGCTGGCCTGTCCTGTACAGAAGGGTGCGCACTGCAGAGCTGGCCTTACAGAAGGGTGCACACTGCAGAGCTGGCCTTACAGAAGGGTGTCCACTGCAGAGCTGGCCTGTGCAGAAGGGTGTGCACTGCAGAGCTGGCCTGTCCTGTACAGAAGGGTGTGCACTACAGAGCTGGCCTGTCCTGTGCAGAAGGGTGTCCACTGCAGAGCTGGCCTGTCCTGTACAGAAGGGTGTCCACTGCAGAGCTGGCCTGTACAGAAGGGTGTCCACTGCAGAGCTGGCCTGTCCTGTACAGAAGGGTGTGCACTGCAGAGCTGGCCTGTGCAGAAGGGTGTGTACTGCAGAGCTGGCCTGTGCAGAAGGGTGTCCACTGCAGAGCTGGCCCGTCCTGTTAGCAGAAGGGCATCCTGCACGCACTCGGGGACCCTCTGTCTGTGACTTCCACCCTGTCCATTCTTCCCACAGCGCACTCAGGATGGTGGTAGAAGAGGTGAAGAGTCCACACATGTCCCTAAGCAACCTGTTCACGAACTCCCTCACCTCCGTGGACGGACACCACACTGAGGTGTGACACGTCCCAGGCTGGGCCTCTCAATCCCTGGGAGCTGAAAGCATCACTTCCCCCTCCATCAGCACTTTTATTTTGGGGGTGGGGGGTCCGGTCGTGGGGCCTGAACTCTGGGCCTGGGCACTGTCCCTCAGCTCTTCAAGTCAAGGTGAGCGCTCTACCACTTGAGCCACAGCGCCACTTCTGGCTTTTTTCTTATGTGGTGCTGGGGAATCGAACCCAGGACCTCATGCATGCAAGACAAGTGCTCTGCCACTGAACCCCCTTCCCAGACCCTCCATCAGCACTCTTTCCAGAAGCATCCTCGCTCCTCTAGCACCCAGGCACACCCTACATGCAGGTTACCTGAAGTTGACTGCATGAAATTTCCAAGTGCAGTAAATCCCTCCAGCCCACATGAGGCAGGCCTGGGGCCCACAGCTGAGGGCCTGCAGCAAAGAGGCCTGCCCCCTACCGGACCTCTTCAGAGCCAGGGACTGGGCATGCCTGGCTTCTGAGCCAGGGACTGGGCACTAGCCTTAAGCAAAAGAAGCTCAGGGTCAGCACCCAGGCCCTGAGTTCAAACCCTAGGAATAGAAGAAAAAAACAAGCAAAAAACTTGTCTAAACTGTGGAGAAAGTTCCATGGGCCACGTCTCTCTTCCAGATTTCGGCGTTCTTTGTTGTGTACATTCTGGCAGCCCAACTATAATATGATGAGAAGCTCTTTCCTAGTCATGTCTGTGTCTCCTATCTAAGACTTGAGGAAGTATCTGCTATCATTTCACTAACTAGGTTTTCTATGCTTTCAGTCTGTACTCTTTAACCCATACAAACTATTCAGCTTTGTTTGATATCTTGATGATGTCCAAAAGGGCTTTTGTTCGGTATTTGTTTTTTAAAACCACTGTGTGTGATAATCCACCAACTTCTCTTGAACCCCTGATTTTCCCTCACTTGATCTAGTCTACTGGTAATACTTTCAACTGGTTTTTTATTTGACATTGAGCAGATTCATTTGGCTGTTTATCTGAATCCTATTTGAGTTTACAGATCCCTTTCCATTTCACCTTTGAGCATAGCCAGGCATTAATGGCCGTCAGTATTGTTTGGATTAGTTCCTTAAGTCCTGGATGTTTGGAAGAATCTGTTGTCTTCTTTGTGTTTCTTTTATTCACACACCTGGAGGAATGGCTCCCTGTCCAAGGTTCCATGTGCTGTGTCAGAGACGGCAAAGCCCACCTGCTGTGCGGCTCTTGCATGAAAGGGGCCTCTGGAAGCTCATGCGCAGTCTCATACACAGAAAAGTACACGGGGTGCCCTCCGTGGCCACTTCTCTATCCATGCCAGTGTGCCCTGTCACATGTACACACATGTCCGTGGCCATTCCCCAGCCACACCACTGTGTGCTCTGCCACATGTACACACATCCGTGGCCATTCCCCAGCCATGCCACTGAGTGCCCTGCCACATGAGGTGCCCTCCGTGGCCATTCCCCGGCCACGCCACTGTGTGCTCTGCCAAATGTACACACATCCATGGCCATTCCCCGGCCACACCACTGTGTGCTCTGCCAAATGTACACACATCCGTGGCCATTCCCCGGCCACGCCACTGTGTGCTCTGCCAAATGTACACACATCCATGGCCATTCTCCAGCCTTGCCACTGTGTGCTCTGCCACATGTATACACACCCGTGGCCATTCTCCATCCATGCCACTGTGTGCTCTGCCAAATGTACACACACCCGTGGCCATTCCCCGGCCACACCACTGTGTGCTCTGCCAAATGTACACACATCCATGGCCATTCCCCAGCCACGCCACTGTGTGCTCTGCCACATGTACACCCATCCGTGGCCATTCCCTGGCCATGCCACTGTGTGCTCTGCCACATGTACACCCATCCGTGGCCATTCCCCGGCCACACCACTGTGTGCTCTGCCACATGTACACACATCCGTGGCCATTTCCCCAGCCATGCCACTGTGTGCTCTGCCACATGTACACCCATCCGTGGCCATTCCCCGGCCATGCCACTGTGTGCTCTGCCACATGTACACCCATCCGTGGCCATTCCCCAGCCTTGCCACTGTGTGCTCTGCCACATGTACACACAGCCATAGCCATTCTCCATTCACGCCACTGTGTGCCCTGCCCAT